TGATGGTACGTCACAATAATAATTCGAAGCGATCGATGCCCTTATAAGATTCTAAGAAGTATTTTTTAAGGGCAAACTTAAAGGAATTAACGCTAGGTTTCGTCTTAATATCCTTCGGGAGATTGTTCCATATTTTAATGCTGCTGACCTTATTGAATCTACGTTTCGACTAGATTGTAGTCATCTTCAGGATTAGTGTAAGATTACAAATACAGCTATATATAAAGAGAAGAAAGGCGGAGCTTAATGTCAGTGAAATATGATCAATTCTCTTTATATATAGCTGTATTTGTAATCTTACACTAATCCTGAAGAATGCATGAATGAACAACTTTATTTAAAGAGGGTAGAAACACATGACAGCAATATAGCTGAAAAACCTGTGGCCCTCATATACAATACATACAAAGTTATTAATTCTACTTTAAAACGTCTAAAAGCTACTTAGAGTAAATATGTAAAAGATCTTAGGATTATAAATTTATATATACAAATTATATACAGTACAACCTGATGGTACGTCACAATAATAATTCGAAGCGATCGATGCCCTTATAAGATTCTAAGAAGTATTTTTTAAGGGCAAACTTAAAGGAATTAACGCTAGGTTTCGTCTTAATATCCTTCGGGAGATTGTTCCATATTTTAATGCTGCTGACCGTTACAGATTTTCCTTCCTCAGTTGCATAATTATATTTAGGACACACTAGACTATATTCGCCATGACGAGTTTGTCTACCATTAATTTCATTGTTTGTTTTAAATAAGTTCTTAATATACTGCGGAGCTTGATCATGCAGGCTCTTGTAAAGTGCATTTGTTAATTTTAACTTCGTTATAAAAATGTATCCAGTTCAGTTTATTGAAATTGGCTATTGACCTGGAGGAAGTGTCAGTTCCTAAAATTACCCGAGCTGCTCTTTTTTGTAATTTGAAAATTCTAAGCAGATCATTTCGCGAGCAGCAACTCCAAATAGAACTACCAAAATATCATGATCGTAAGAACACATTGGTATCGAAGGTACTAGACTTAGTTCCGAAATACCACACACTCGAACCGACTTGACCTCGTAGCTCAGTTGGCAGAGCATTGGGCTGGTATCCCACAGGTCGCGGGTTCTATTCCCACTGTGGTCAGGCTAACTTTTCAGCCTGTATGGTGTGGATATACACTCAAAGTAACATCAAAAAAGAAATTCAAAAAAGTTCTGTATTTCTGGCGTCTGTTGTCGGCATTAAGAAACATCGCAAACTAAACTTAAGATTAGTATTCTATGATTGCATCTATTATTTTAAATTTCTTTTTATTTGTTGATTTGTGGGTCGTTTGCGTGTTGTTTTTCTTGTTCGTTTGCTTGTACCTTTGTCGTTGTTGTTGTCGTCGTTGTCGCTGTTGTTGTTGTTGTTACTGTTAGTGTTGTCGCTGTTGCTATCAGTGTTGTTGTTGCTGCTGTTATTGTTGCTGTCGTTGCAATTGTTGTTGTTGCTCTTGTCGTTGGCTGCTCTTAAATTGACATTGTTTTTATTGCTGTTGTTATTGCTGCTGTTATTGCTGTTGTTATTGCTGTTGTTGTTGCTGTTGTTGTTGTTATTGCTGCTGTTGTTGTTGTTGTTTTTGCTGTTGTTATTGTTATTATTGTTGTTATTGTTGCTGTTGTTGTTATTGTTAGTGTTGTCGCTGTTGCTATCAGTGTTGTTGTTATTGTTGCTGCTGTTATTGTTGTTGTTGCTCTTGTTGTTGCTGTTGTTGTTGGCTGCTTTTAAATTGATATTGTCTTTATTGCCGTTGTTATTGCTGTTGTTGTTGCTGTTGTTGTTGTTGCTGTTGTTGTTATTGCTGCTGTTGTTGTTTTTGCTGTTGTTATTGTTGTTGTTAGTGTTGTCGCTGTTGCTATCAGTATTGTTGTTGTTGCTGTTGCTATTGCTGCTGTTGTTGTTGCTGTTGCTGTTGTTGTTTTTGCTGTTGTTGTTGTTGCTGTTATTGTTATCATTGTTGTTATTGTTGCTGTTGTTGTTGTTGTTAGTGTTGTCGCTGTTGCTATCAGTATTGTTGTTGTTGCTGCTGTTATTGTTGCTGTCGTTGCTATTGTTGTTGTTGTCGTTGTTGCTCTTGTCGTTGTTGTTGTTGTTGGCTGCTCTTAAATTTTGCGTTTGTCCTTGTTTGTTGTTTGTTGTTTGTTGTTTCGATGTTGCGTTCGTATTTAAATATGAAGTTTTTGGCGTTTTCTTCCACATTCCTGCACTTTTTTAACTCGGTTTGAGTATCATAACACTAGATAAAAACATAAAAAATGTATACCAGTGCATGTAGCGCCAACATTAGATTTGCTGAATTTGCACTTCCCATCCTTTGCTTTATAAGGATAGCTAGCTTCAGTATCGATGCCACCGTTTGCTTTGATGTAATTGAAAGCGTCATCCATGAGACCACCTTCGCAGCCATCGTTTCCATAGCTTCCAGAGCAGTCGACAAGATTTTGTTCACTGAGTGAAACCAACTTTCCTGTTTTCTTAAAATGCTGTCCCTCTAGAGATCCTGTAGTACTGAACGCCCAGCAAGATCCACATTGTTCTGAAATTATGCGATAATATTATCATTTACATAAACTAATAAACTAAACTAACTTTCTTTATACTGGATAGCTCTATCAGTTCTAAACTGTTCTCCCCAGAGGTCCAGTATTGATCCAGTGTTACTACAGAAGGAAACCTAAATTAAACTAACTTTATTTATGCTGAATAGCTCTACCAGTTCTAAACTGTTCGCCCTAGACTCCTAAAGGTCCAGTAAAAATCATCTCTTATTGATCCAGTGATACTCCAGAAGGAAACCTAAACTAAACTAACTTTATTTATACTGAATAGCTCTACCAGTTCTAAACTGTTCTCCCTAGACCCCTAGAGGTCCAGTAAGGATCAACTCTTATTGATCCAGTGATATTCCAGGAGGTAACCAAAACTAAATTAATTAACTTTATCTATATTGAATAGCTCTCCCAGTTCTAAACTGTTCTTCCTAGAGGTCCAGTAAGGATCATCTCTTATTGATCCAGTGTTACTACAGGAGGAAACCTAAACTAAACTAACTTTATTTATACTGGATAGCTCTATCAGTTGTAGACTGTTCTTCCTGGAGGTCCAGTAAGAATCATCTCTTATTGATCCAGTGTTACTACAGGAGGAAACCTAAACTAAACTAATTTTATTTATACTGGATAGCTCTATCAGTTGTAAACTGTTCTTCCTAGAGGTCCAGTAAGAATCATCTCTTATTGATCCAGTGTTACTACAGGAGGAAACGTAAACTAAACTAACTTTATTTATACTGGATAGCTCTATCAGTTGTAGACTGTTCTTCCTAGAGGTCCAGTAAGGATCATCTCTTATTGATCCAGTGTTGCTACAGGAGGAAACGTAAACTAAACTACTTTATTTGTACTGGACAGTTCTATCAGTTGCTGTTCAATTAGCACGAACCCTGGGTTAAAATTTAACCTGCTGTTTTAGTTCATGTGTCTTATTTTAAAACGTCAGGAAAGAAAACTCCTACCGATCCAGACAAGATTTCTAAACAAATATTTCCAAATTTATAAACAACCTAGCGCTGTTGGTAAATTTGCTTCAGTTGAAATTTAGATTAAACTAGGGTTAAGCTTACGGCCCGCTTGTGTATACAGGGTGTATCAAAAAAAGCGCAATCCTCGACTGAAATGTAAATTGCTAAACAAATAATAGACGAAAACGTTAAAGTTTACATTCATTTTAAAGCGTAGCCATTCAGCTTTCTAACAGTGGGTTGTTTCTTAAATTTGACTCATTGGTTCGCGGTGTAATAATACTTTACGTTATTGCGATTGGAGATTAAAAAAATTGAGATGGAATAACAAATCGTTCTCATGAAAATAACTGATTTTTTCATTAAAACAAAAAAATGTTGCATTTTAATAAATGGATTGTAACAATAAGTATAATTACGGCTTTTCTGCCACTATTTTTAACACAGTTTGAAACTTCAAATGCGATATAATTTTGGCTTAGACCATCTAAGCTGACTGACATCAACTTGCTATAATTTCTGTTTACATTACATCTCAATTCGATGACACTCAGACACCAGAATGTTTTGACGATTTTTAGCATTCGTTTAGGATTTTCAAACAACCTGGTCTCTTTTAAAATACGTTTAATTTGTTCTTACGTGGTTTTCCAGATGTAGTGACGACAACATTAAAGTTTAAAGAAGAAAATTCTAACATTTAAACCGACTAAACAATAAAGCCTGCCGCACAAGAGAGCTATCTGCTGAGCAAAAAGTTACTCGTGCCTGTTAGCTCAGCTGATAGCTCACCGATCAAACATGTTTGATACGTGAGAAAAGGTTGCATGAGGCAAAAAACTCAGTAAAATGCACCCGCACACGGTGAGCTATCGGCTGAGCTAACAGGCACGAGTAACTTTTTGCTCAGCAGATAGCTCTCGTGTGCGGCAGGCTTAACATAGTAAACTTGCATAATTAAACAGCAACTAAAAATGATAGGTTTTACTAAATCTTTTCCTGTGCAATTATTACTAGCATTGGAGACAAGGATAATAGTTTGTTTGAAAGAGAAAAGAACAGGCTTTGAAGTAAGCCTAAAAGCGTTTAACTAGAAATAGTATTTCGAAAGTTATTAAGCACAAAAGATGAATTGCGTTTATTTTGATACACCCTGTATAAATGTACGTAAGGCAGCATACTTTGATTTTTGACTCCTGTAACGTAGCCTTTATCACGCCAATCGACCTTGTCTGGTAAGAACGAGTTGCTCGCAGGCAAGTAGGTTGTGCCATTGTCTCTTCGATCTGGTCGATATCTTGTACCCAATAGCAATAGCCGGTATTCAATAGTCGTCAAATCACCGAGCTCGTTCATAGCCAAGGTGTAGCTGGGCGGTTTCTCGGCATTGTTGTGCTCCTCGATTTTCTAAACAAAATAATTTTTATTCGTGACTTCAGTTTAATGCCATGCGTTGAGATGGATGTGGTCAGTGCTGTCCCTTGCCGCTGGGTTAAGCCTGCGGGCGCCCCCTAGTGGCAGCCACCATACGACTCGTGTCCGATCACAGACTTCACAGAGCTAAGATGGAAGTTAGTGCTTGGTGATGCCGTAGGGGACTGCTAAATCCCTCCCCCAAGAAAAGATCAGAGGGTGAAAAAAAATTACTACAGTAACATTGAAATACTGCTTAAAGTGCATATGACATGAAATTTCTTATTTTCTTAAATGAAAGAACTCTTTAAGCTGTAGTGTAACTTATTTTTCAGTTTCTTGTTTTTATGGTTTGTTCCCGAGATATTTCAATTTGTTTGATATGTAAATGAGTGTGAATATGTCCGCTAATTTATGACGTCATGTTGGTTGCAAGCTCTTCAAAATGGTTGAATATCACGGCTATCATCCAAGATGATAATTTCAAACTTCACTCACTGGTAAATGTGATGAAACACTGTAGAAAAACGTGAACAGATATCTACAGTTTTTAGAGTTAATACATTTATAACCAGTGTAAGTTGAGCTTGCAACCAACATGACGTCATAAATTAGCGGACATATTCACACTCATTTACATATCAAACAAATTGAAATATCTCGGGAACAAACCATGAAAACAAGAAACTGAAAAATAAGTTACACTACAGCTTAAAGTGTTCTTTCAATTAAGAAAATAAGAAATTTCATGTCATATGCAGTTTAAGTAAAAATTGAAACTGTGGGGTTTCAGCACCCGTCACAGTTTACTTGGGGAAGCCGTAAACTTTTTCCATCGCTAAGTAGTTTGACTCTGCTAATTTGCAGGCGGTTTTAGACCCCACCAAGTCATATAAACTGACCAAAATCATTCGTGAGGCAATTTTTTGCCCAATTTGTTATTGTCAAAATTCTTCATTTCGCTGCCAGAAAGTGCAGGAATGGCATTTCCGCACCTCAATTACTCAAATTGTTCTGCGGGAGCTCTCCTAACTTTAAATATCTTTCTATGTTATCATGTTTTGCATGTCTCGTTTGCACTTAGATGAAATAGAGACCTTACGATTTTAGGACGGCAACGCGACGGCCAAAACAAACTCCTTCAAATAAATGGTAGTAAAGATAGTTCGTCGTATATTATCAATCGTATGAATTTAATACAGTCTTAGAGAAGTTGAAGACATGGGTTTTATAACTTTTATGGTTGGGAAGAGTTCTGCTAAACTCAGTTTGAAGTTGCACTTGTTGCGTCTTGGAATGCAGCCGTTGTATCAAGACGTGAAAATCTGTGATTTGGCGTTGTAAACAGAGCGAGGACAATGTCTAAATTATTCATATATTGTAATTATTCAATTCTTTTCAATGATTTATTGTATTGGTAGCCGTTGCCGTCCTAAAATCGTAAGGTCTCTGATGAAATAAACCTACGGTACCCAACGCAACTGAAAATCCCCCCCCCCCCCAAGTAAAACCCGTTCCATGCAGCGCGCAAATCTAAGTAAATTCCTGCCTCGAGCTACAGCAACAGGCTTCGTTGAGCGGAAAGAGGGCAACGCCGCTATAAACTGTATTTGCTTATTTGCTTCCCGTAGTCCATTATATATTATGTCTAAGTGTCTTTCTATTATTTGTTTGTGAACTTTTTTTCAATCTAAATGAAAAGATAATCTAATCGGTATAGCATCAGAACATGGGTTTATTACTATGATCTTGGAATGTGCGAGAGCGCACGAAGTCTTCACAAGTATTTTACTCCTTGGAATTCCTATCTGCTCTGACGCTTAACTGCTCAAATAGAAACGGAAAATGAAAATAACGTAAATGTTTGATCCCAGTTTGAGGTTACTTTAATTTCGACTATAATATCGTTAGACTTTTACGCACAGGTGGTTATATTGATCTCGAGAATAGATATATTATCTATAATTTCATCATAGATAGTCCACAGTACTCGTAGAATTAATTCTTAAATCGAAAAATTTCTACTTTCTGTGAATTTTAGGGGGCCCAATTCCACCGAAGGGGGTATATGGACAGGGGGACCCAGATCCGCGGGGAGTCCAAATGCGAATACCAGTGTACCGCTCGACCTAATATAGATAATTATCTTTTGTTTCAACGACTTGTTGGCGAACTGTGTCCCAACTTGCAAAATACATGTTTATTTAATTCCAAATTGTTTGGTTTGTATATTTATACTTACTGTAAAGAAAAACAAATTATGGAGGAAAATGAAACTAATTAAGTCGAGACCAGTATGAAAATATTTTTGAAAATTAAAGCACGATCAAGTGAAGCTAATATAATTTTTGTAATTTGATTTTCGGGATATGGGTGTTTAATTATTTATTCTTTTTTCAGAATACTTGATGTTAATATCTTTATCACATAAAATATGTCAAAACAATGAATGATTGATAGCACGGAGAACAGTGGAATTGCATGAGAAGACAATGGAACATTTCGTGGCTGAATGACGCCCTTTTCAAGCTTGTTTTTATGCTTATATAAAACGAATGAACATTGAAATGAATTCTGAATCTTTAACCTAGAAAGCTCTGTTTATTTTCACTAATAAATTAGGTAAAAATATGAGGACGTATATAATCTCAATCGACTGAAAAGATTAAACGTCAGTCGCAAGAAGAGACAAGTTAATCTTCCAAAATAATATTCACCCCCATTACAAAACATTAAAACCATTTAGAAACGAGTTGCGCACTAACCTGTAAATTGGTTCTCCAAATTTCTTTGCGATACGCGTCTTCATGGTGCTCGTATCGCTTGCCATATTTAATCTTGAAAGCTTCCCAATCGGCTTCGCTTCCTAGTAAGCTAGCACTGTAAGCCACCGAAATAAAACACGCGCAAAGCAGCACGAAAGAATTCATTGTGAACGCGCAAACTAGGTTTCTCTGAACAGAAGTCGAAATTGCGAAGCGATGTAAAAGTTCGTTACAAAAGTTTGTCGAATGCTTTGCGTACGTGCTCTGTGCGAGCTCAAGGCCAAGTGCGCGTCTTGTGATAAAACGCCGGGAAATACGCAAATGAGTTGTGATGTTCTCGTGATTCTGTTTTGTAATTTGATAGGCTCGTTGGAAGTGTTTAAAGATAGATTGACAAGGACAGGTGATGAAAAGCGCGCAGAATCTTCTGTATGTTACGTAATGATAATTGCACTTGGCTTTGAATATATTCAACTTTTATTAATTTTTGATACGTACGTTTCTCAAGCGGCAATCAAACTTAAAAAATATGTTTAGCGCTTTATCTGTAAAATTATGCTAAAATGAATAGATTTTAGATGGTACGCCAAAGAGAAAATTAGTCTCAGTGAAGTTCAGTAAGATTTGTTTATATTGCTGTACAAATTCAGGGCATCAATTTTACAGCATCAATAATTGTATTTAAAAAATTCATTAATAATTCACGAGGAAAATACAAAAGAAATGAATGTTTAATCAATATTTGTAAATCGGATTTACAAACGATTTGTCCTGATTTACATAAACTTCAGCTTTGATTTTCTCGGCTTAGTCTTAGACAATGTTTATTTTTAAAATTACTTCGCCAATGTCAATGAACGCATAAGATGGGTCATACAGATCGGCTGCTCATGTTTTATCTAGTACTTAAATTGTAAATCATATATTTAACTATTATTTTATGTTTCGATTCACAAACGCCAGATACATCTAAAAAGTTGCTATGTAAACTACAAAATAAAGCTAAAACAAAGCACTGACTTTGGCAGAGGAACGCCAAAAAGATTTTGGGTTTTGCCGGAACACTTTTCATTGCAAATACTATTTGAAAAAATCATGACATGTATACAGTTAATTCACACACAACACAGCAACGTAAGCTAACAATGTCTGTCAATGACAACTAATTACAGAACAGGAACATAAATTTTCTTTATCACAAATTTCCCTTGCGTAAACGGAACACATTTACTGAGATTTAGTTCCTATAATATATTTTCAGCTCCATAATCTATTCATAATCTACCACATCATTCCAAGTTTTCATTACAATGCAAAATTTTATGTCTTACAAAGGGCTAGTGTGATTAGAGATAATGTTTTTTATATACCGAGTGTCCCCCCAAAAAACTGGACACTGTTTGATCGCATAAGTAAAAGCTATAAAAGCTATCGCAGTGAAATAAAGATACTGAATGGACGACTTGCGCTTTAGACTAAATTTTAATCTAAGTAAGAACAACGAAATCTATCACCACAGCTAGAAAGAGCGTCTTGGAATTAGTAATATTACAAAGTTTGGTTGCGAAATGTTGTAAAATACGGAAAATATAGACCTTCAAAGTTGGCAAATTTGTATACTTTTGTATTACGTGCGTGAATTGGTAACTAAATTAGTTACCAATTTCCGCACGTAACAGAAATGCCAGTATACAAATTTGCCAACTTCGCAGGGCTATATCTTCCGTATTTTACAACATTTCGCACCCAATCTTTGCAGTTTTTCTTATTTTGATAACTTCTTTCCGAAAATATCCTTTGTTATTCCCAGATTAAAAATTTTTCTAAAGCGCAAGTCGTCCATTGTATTCCGAAAGGATGATCGCAGATACAGTTAGGTGTTTTGCATAGGTAAATTCTAAGTTAGTTTAAATGATTCATAAGAAATGTTTGAGGGAAATGACTTAGACGTTTATTATGACAATATATGTGAATCATGATATTTGCTGTGTTGGTGTAATGTATACTCAGGTGAATAAGATGCTTGTGATGTTACTCTGAAAAACATGCCGGCCACGGTGGGAATCGAACATACGACCTTTGGAATACTAGCCCAATGCTCTGCCAACTGAGCTATACGCGGTGACAGCAAATATCATGATTATTAGTTTACATTGATATCGAAGGAACTAGACTCAGTTCCGAAATATCACATAGTTCGAACCGATCTGACCGCGTAGCTCACTAAGTTGGCAGAGCATTGGGCTAGAATTCCAAAGGTCGTAGGTTCGATTCCCACCGTGGCCAGACATATTTTTCAAGCCTGCCCGGTGTAGATTTACACTCAGAGTAACATCACAAACATATATGTGAATCAGTTATCGGTGCTGATTTACCGTAGAGCGTAAAACAGTAAAAACTCGTTGCTCTGTGATTGAGGTCAGTTGAACCATTCTTATTCCAACTGATGACATGACTAATTGGAAATTTGACAATTTTTTATGTAGTCAAATGCTCCTTCATACGATTAGAAACTATTTCATATTCCGCAGGAACAGAAAATCTTGTGCTTTAATAATTTTACAACAATAGCTTGCAAGATTTCTAAAGGTCTCGTCGTTTTTTTATACACCTATAGCTGTACTGTGTACAGTATAAAACAAGAATAATGCCCGATGCAACCAATCACGATCTAGTGATTCAGTGGAATGTTCATTATCTTCCCATTATTACACAGCCACAGGCTATGTTGACATTGTTTTGAAAATCCAACTGTTCTCCATGCCATCCACCACTCATTGCCGGTTTTAGTATTACTTTACGCCATTCCATTTTACAAAATCAGTTGCCATAGGATGTGGTTTTTAATATTGATTGAAATGGGGGAAGGGAGCATCAAGTTTGGCTTACCAATGTGAGTTCAGCAATATAATCGTTTTTCTGTCCAAACAGCTTACCGAAGGCGGCATTCCCCAAAACAAAACAAAACAATTTTAATTTTGGCCTTGGACGTTTGTTTGCATTGCAATTCAAAATAAGCAGCCTAAATTAATATTAGCATTTTTATGTATTCGTGTTAAAACATGTGGAATGATTCATGATGACTCGAGCAAATTTGTGCTTCGTCGTTGATTCTGTATGTCAACGTAAGGATCAAGGACCCGTAGGCTATCTGTGTGACCAGATTTTAACTTAAAAATATTTTACCTTTGCAGTTTTGCCTTTGGGTAAAATTTCATCAATTTTGGAAAAATTTTAGTAATGAAATTTTTTTGTAAAATTTTTAGACAGTAATTTTTTTGTAAAAATTCGTATTTGAACTACTTGAGTACTAAAGACTAACAGCAGATTATTGAAACTTTCAATCATGGAACAGGAAATTAAATTTTCAGGCTAAACGCATGGCCGACCTATATTTGCCTTGTTGTAGCCATGATAACATTTTTTGAACGAAAATATTTAACTTGTGGCAGAGTTGGCAGCCATCTTGGCGTGTGACGTCATTAGTTATTGGACTGATATTTAATTAATGATTTCACGTGGAAAACATGCGATAATTTTGAGAATCATAGACGACAGTTGAAATGCAGGAGATTTGGCTGATTAGCAAAACTACATAAAACAGTAAAAATAGGTACGCTTTTGCGGACATATTTCACAGCACAAACTATATTAATGCAGAAAATATATTTGATGGAAATTACCTATTAACGGTTTTTATTATTCTTAGAGTATATATCTAAAGGTCTTCTGTTATACACCAAAATCACAATAGACAAATATATTGCATATCTAAAATCTAGTTGTTTCACACAATTAACATGCTGATATAGGCCTGGGAATTCCATTTTATTGCATACAATATTCAGCTCATTCAGCTTTGCAGTGACCGATTACAATCAAGTATTACGCTTACTTGTATTGCTTTAATCACAGTGCCTTTTAATTAGCCTAGACTATTTATCTTTAAGACAATTGTGGTATTACTTTCCTAACTGTGTTTATCCTAACAGACTCTGTCAACTTTCCCTGTGGGAGGAAATCCGAGCTCCCAAAACCCACGACTTTCGGCAGAGCGTTGACAGACTCCGCAGCGAGAGATGAAACCTAACCAACTTTGAGAACTGTTTCGAAATAAAAACGGGTAGCATCAACACAAGGAACTATATATTTTTTTTTAAAACTCCCCAAAGTAAAGTTAGAGTTTGGGAAACAATCATTCTATTATTTGGGTGCAAAAATCTATAATGATTTGCCAATCGAAAAGATTGTGACCAATTTCTTAAGCTATTGAAAGACTATTATATAAACAGGTACATGTGAACTTTTTGAAAGACTTTTATAATAGGTACATTGAATATATATTTTAGTTTTTGAACTAACTATTAAAAAATCACATCAGCACAGTGTGATCAGCCTCGGCTCCCCGACTGAAGACTTAGTAATGATTGATTTATTAATTTTATCAGCTGCAACGCGTATCCAAATTTAATTTCTCAGCATTAATTGTTTATCATTTAATAGTGAAAAAATTTCTTTGGTTTATAGTTTATGCAGCTGCAAGATTTTGCTCTGCTGAATTTTGTTCAAACACGTCATTGTTTGAAAGTTTGAAAAATGTCCTCTAGTCATTTGGCGTCAATCTTCCTTTTGATGAAAACGCTTTGTTTGTACAGCATTATGTTCTTTGTATGTTTTTACAAAGGAAAATCACACATCACTCCCCCTTTGTTCTACTTAAAAACCTTACAACAAAATGGAACTAATAATTTTTGCTACTTTAAGATAATTGGTTCTTTCTTCATTACAGTTCCCACAAATACCTAAGGGTCAGAAATATTCTGCTCATGTTGAACATGATTAAGAACTCTACATGGCGTTAAAATACTATGACAACTTATCAACAAGATGTGTTCGTACTGCTTGTTCCCAGTTGTTGACAAGTCTGGAACAAGTTGTTATCATCTTGTAACAAGGTTGATGAGGCCAACAGACTCGCAACAAATTGTTCCAACAAGTCTGGTATCAACGTAACAAGTTGATGACAAGCTCGTAGCAACTTGTTACGAACAGCCTGTATTAATCTTGTTGGAATAACTTGTAGCAAGTCTGTTACCGTCATCAACCTTGTAACTAGGTGATAACAACTTGTTCCAGACTTGTCATAACAATCCTTATATTGGATAAATAAATTTTAAAAATGTGCTCATGTTACCAGTACAATTAAACTAACTTTATTTATACCACTGAAAGCACAATCAGTTCTAAACTGTTCTTCCTAGAGGTCCAGTAGGGATCATCTCTTATTGATCCAGTGTTACAACAGTCCGGAAACCTAAACTAAACAAGTTTATTTATACTGGATAGCTCTATCAGTTCTGAACTGTTCTTCCTAGAGGTCCAGTAAGGGTCATCTCTTATTGATCCAGTGTTACAACAGTCCGGAAACCTAAACTAAACAAGTTTATTTATACTGGATAGTTCTATCAGTTCTGAACTGTTCTTCCTAGAGGTCCAGTAAGGGTCATCTCTTATTGATCCAGTGTTACTACAGGAGGAAACCTAAACTAAACTAACTTTATTTATACTGGATAGCTCTATCAATTCTGAACTGTTCTTCCCAGAGATCCAGTAGGGACCATCTCTCATTGATCCAGTGTTACAACAGTCCGGATACCTAAACTAAACTAGTTTATTTATACTGGATAACTCTATCAGTTCTGAACTGTTCTTCCTAGAGGTCCAGTAAGAATCATCTCTTATTGATCCATTGTTATACTACAGGAGGAAACCTAAACTAAACTATAGCTTTATTGCTTAAAAAGGACTATTCCATATTTGTCCAGTGTTACTACAGGAGGAAACCTACACTAAACTAGCTTTATTGATTTAAACTGTTCTCTCAAGAGATCCAGTAAGGATCATTCCATATTTGTCTGGTGTTACTACAACAGGAAACCTACACTAGACTAGCTTTATTGATTTAAATTGTTCTCTCAAGAGATCCAGCTAGCTAGTAAGGATCATTCCATATTTGTCCAGTGTTACTATACAAGAGAAAACCGGAAAATCCCCAGGATAAAACCTGCAATACGTGTTTGGTATAGTGAAACAGAAAGCATTCATCTCACATAGGACTGCGGGGAAAATTATAATCCACAACTTCATAGTGCAGGAATAACGCAGTCACATGACTGGGGACTGTGCTACCAAATATTCATGTTGATTGGTCCTTACTGGATCTCTTGAGAACAGTTTAAATCAATAAAGTTAGTCTAGTTTAGGTTTCCTCTTGTAGTAACACTGGACTGAATATGGAATGATCCTGACTGGATCAGTCTTATTCTCTTGAGAGAACAGTTTAAATCAATAAAGTTAATTCAGTTTAGGTTTCCTCCTGTAGTAACACTGGATCAATAAGAGATTATCCTTACTGGACCTTTAGAATTGATAGAGCTATCCAGTATAAATAAAGTTAGTTTAGTTTAGGTTTCCTCTCGTAGAAACACTGGATCAATAAGAGATTATACTTACTGGACCCGCTCTAGGGAGAACAGTTTTAAACTCATACAGCTATCCAGTATAAACAAAGTTAGTTTAGTTTAGGTTTCCTCCTGTAATACAACACTAAATCAATAAGACATGACCCGTACCGGACCTCTATAGGAAGAACAGTTTAGAACTGATAGACTTATTCAGTATCAATAAAGTTAGTTGATTCGATTAAAATAATTTTACTATCTTTAAAGACCAAAGGCCTTTATTATATAAACATTATTTCAAAACTCATAATTGACGTAAGTGCAATATATCATCCATGCCCTCCCCCGCGGTTTTCTCATACTTAAAATACAGACAGCCAACTTCTCTTGCAGGGAATCTTAGGAAGTCATGAGATTCGAAACTAATTTACATTTTTAACTATATATATATAACTTCATTCTTTGTTCTAGCACGGCGTGGGTGCCAAGTTTAACGTTCATTGACGCAAGGGAATATTGGCAAACCCACGTTCAATTTAAGACCACTTCAGCATGCTGATGCAACGAAATATCGACTCTTTCTGTCTCTTTGAATCTGTTGCCGAAGAGTAAAGGCTGTTTTGCACTATCAAAGTTTCCGATCTGTGATTGGTGGGAATTTTGCATAGCATAGGTAAATTCTAAGTTTTGGAGGATTTGTAAGAAATGTTCGGACAGAACTGACTCAGCGTTACCCAATACAATGAGATTTATTAGGTTCCCCATAAGGATGTTAATCAACCTAGTTAACCAAGCCGACTACTGAGAAGACATCTTCTCAAACTA